AAAAAAAAAAAAAAGTTTTTAAATAAAAAATTAGCCAGACATGGTGGTTCACACCTATAGTCCCAGCTACTTGGGCTGAGGCTGGAGGATCCTTTGAGCCCAGGAGTCTGAGTTACAGTGAGCTATGATCACACCACTACACTCCAGCCTGGGTGAAAAAGTGAGACACTGTCTCAAAAACTAAAACAAAAAAAAATCTGTTTCCTTGAGAAGTCAGATATAGCTGATTCACACCGATAACACTCCTTGTAGCCTCAATCTCCTGGGCTCAAGTGATCCTCCCACCTCAGCCTCCCAAGTAGCTGGGACTACAAGTGCACGCCACCATGCCTGGCTAATTTTTGTGTTTTTTTTTTGTTGTCGAGAGGAGTCTTTCCATATTGTCCAAGCTGGTCTGGAATCCTTTTTTCTCTTCTTTCAAAGTTTATTATTATTATTATTATTTTTTTATGGAATGCTTCAAGCATTTACATGTTAACTTTCTTTGGGGGCCATGTTAATCTTCTCTGTATTGTTCCAATTTTAGTGTATGTGCTGCCAAAGCAACCACAAATGGAATCCTTGATAAAAATTTTTAGACATCAGCAGGCGAGGGGTGTGTGTGTGGGGGGGAGGAAATGGAATTCTTTGCAAATTCCCCTGAAATCATACCAAGTAATTGCTTATTTTGTCCACCTAGTTGTTCTCATTATCAAAACCCTGCCATTGTCTCCTTGAATCACCAAATTCCTGATAGAAATAGCTTGTATAGCTGCAAGCATTTCTCAATAAGTATTAACTAAATGTTAATAGTTATAATAATAAAAAAATCAGGTTTTTAATCCCTGATTTGCTGCAGCTGATTGGTTCCATCTTTTGCCTAGAGAATTGTCAGTCTTAAGGAAGGAGAATGGAGAACTGAAGAAATTTCTAGCCATTCTAAAGGTGAATGAAATAGATTTTCCTTATTATTTTCTCTCTTACTTTTCTCATCTATCTAGCTGATTATATAGAATAGTGTTTCCTAATCTTTTTCTCATCATGGCACACACAGAAATTGATATTTGTACAATAAGCACTCTACAGTAAATGGATGAGGTCTCAGCAGACCTTGGGGGACAGAAAGGATCAACTTATAGCACACTTGTAACCCATTCCTGAACATCAGTGAGTCATGAACATCAGTGAGTTGGAAAGTTCTCTTATAGAAGAAACAGCTGTTGCAACTTAAAAATTTCTCTTCGAGAAACTCAAGACACCTCAGGACGCTTCCTCTGCATCACACTCTACTTCCTAAATAGTTTTTCTTCCTAAGAATATTCTGTGTATTTATATAATTTTCCTATTGATCCCACTCCTGTAATTATTCTAGCACATTGTAGTGTGTCATTTTCCTTTCTCTCCCCAGAGACTCCATATTTCCCCACTTATGTTAGTCTATGGGATTCCCTATGCACTCTTACAAAGAACTAAAATTTTATCTCCTCAAAGCTAATAATATCCTAAGGAAATACTGCTGCTACTTTTCCTCCTACTGGGAATCTTAGCAACCATGACTAAGGGGCACTGAGCTTAGTTAGCTAGCAAGTAAGACTGAAGATCTGTTGATTAGGATCCTCAGTTGTAGCCTTCTTCACTCCTGGTTTTTTCACCTATAGGAATCTCCAAGTCGGTACCAAGGAAGCAGGTCAGTTTTATCAGCTCCCATACTAACCCAACCCCCTGAAAACTCCTGTTCTTTCTTGCCTCCTGGCTGTGTGAACTCTGAGAGAGAGAAAATGGTTAATGCATTTGGCTTTCACTTCTGCAAGAAAGAGTTATTGAAAGTGCCGAAGTAAAATCTTAATTATAATGCTCACCCTTGACTGTCATCTTATGAAATACTACTGTTTGAAATGCTGGTTCCTCAGTGCCATAAAGAAATAGCATTTGAACATAAATTTAATTTACTCAGCAAGGACATTTTTACTTCCTGCAGAAAGGGTACACTCGCCAGCAAGATTACACTGAACAAAGGAGACAGGGTCATTTATAACCTGACGCATCTACCTTACTGCTGTGTCCAGTTTCCATTGGCTGGAACGGGACTTCACATTCTGTATGTGTTCGGATTGGCTAACAACTTAGAACTTTTTAAAAGAGGCAAAGGTAGAGGAGAACCAAGGAAGGAGGAAGTAACTTGTGGAATGCTGAGAAAGGTAAAAACATCTTCAAATAAGGAAGGAACAGGCTATAACCTAACGCTTGCTTGGACCAATGTAAGTGTACCAGGGCAAATATTTAGGCTAAGTTGTGACAGCTAAGAACATAAAGTACATTGATTTCTTTATTACTGCTAGCAGATATTTAAGAATGTTAGTACAGGTCTTTAAATAAATTTTGCTTTTAAGAGAAGTTACTGTTTATTCCTAATTAGACGAAGAGGAAAGCCTTTAAAGAGGAGCCTCTACTTTACTTTTTACACTACTCATCCTTAAAAATTCAACTCAGTCACTTCCTCTGTGAAGACTGCATTAGGTGGAATTAGATGGTCTATTCATTCATTCAGTAAATATTAAGTGCCTACTGTTTATCAGGTACTATGTTATGGGCTGGATATATGCTACTGGTCCTTTCTAATTAGTGATATATATGCTCTACCAACTCTTTTTTTTTTTTGAGACGCAGTCTTGCTCTGTCGCCCAGGCTGGGGTGCAGTGGCCGGATCTCAGCTCACTGCAAGCTCCGCCTCC